CGGAAGGTCCTCATCCTCAGCCAGGACAGCTTCTACAAGGTGCTGACCGCCGAGCAGAAGGCCAAGGCGCTGAAGGGACAGTACAACTTCGACCACCCGGGTGAGGCGGCTCTGGGGGCTGAAGCCCCGCGGGCTTTTTCCCGTGGTTGAGTTAGTGGTTGGAGACCAGCTGGGGTTTACCGAAAGGGCTTGTAGGAAATGAGAAGTATGGGATAACAGAAACGCTCTTTCCCCCACCAAAACATCCGTCTGTCTGTCACTGCGCATTGCTGTCACGACAGCTGCAGGTGGTAACGGCCGCTTTAGTGCGCCTTTGCAGAGAGCGACGCTGGAGAGCTGGAGAGCATCCCGGCTTGCGTGGTGCTCTGTCTCCTCATCCTCGGCTGTTGGGAGGATCTGTAATAAACCACGTCGTTCCCCAAATGCTTTCCTGGTATTTCTTGTCCACATAAACAGCTGCTCCCCTTGCTCGGGGGAGTGCTGTGGATTGCAGGTGGGACAATGATCTGCCCGTGGCTGAAGTCTAGAGCCTGCTGTAGGTTCACCAGGGTGAATAATGAAAAGCATTAGATGTCTGAGGTTTTCTAAATTACTCTTAGCTGACAGACTAAAAGAGTTGCGCAAAATTATACAATTACCAAGCAGTTTGGTAAAATTATACAATTACCAACCGCACATTTGGGTTCTTAATTTTATTGTGTTGTAGTTGCTTATAAACGGCAAATTCTCTCTTCCTTATCTCTGTAACCAAGTATAGCAATTCTAGTTTGGGTGGGTGGTGTTGGATTGCTGCTGGTAGGAAAGAATAAGCCATATGTTCCTTTTTTCCTGGTGTAATACTGGACAGAGAGTTTTTTCCTTCAGGTCTAGAAAATCTGAGCAGAACATTGGACATAGCAGCATCTGAACTTCTTCCTCTTTAAACCTTCCTCTTGCAGACGCTTTTGATAACGACTTGATGCATACAACGCTGAAAAATATTGTTGAGGGCAAAACCGTTGAGGTTCCAACCTATGACTTCGTGACCCATTCTAGGTAGGTTTCAGCTTCATGTGAATTCTCGGGTTGTGTACGTGGATGTCTCCAGCTGGGCCTGGGGACGGGCTGCTTGACTGTGGTGTGAGACCCATTTAACAACGTGTTCTGGGTGTTTTTTCCTGGCAGGCTGGCAGAGACGACGGTGGTCTATCCCGCTGACGTTGTTCTCTTTGAGGGGATCCTGGTTTTCTACAATCAAGACATTCGGGACATGTTCCATCTCCGGCTCTTTGTGGACACGGATTCCGACGTCCGGCTGTCCCGCAGAGGTAATGCTCTGCCATCATGGATGGCGTCAGCCAGCTCGTGTTCCTTATCCGTCCTCCGCCATGTGGTAGAACTCATGGGTTTTATCTTCCCGTCCCAGTTCTGCGAGATATGAAACGTGGGAGGGACCTTGAGCAGATCCTCACCCAGTACACCACGTTCGTCAAGCCTGCCTTTGAGGAGTTCTGCTTACCGGTACTAAATGTTTCACTAATTTTGTTTGTGGGTTTTTTGTGGGGGCGAGAAGGAGCGGGGTCGCCTGGGGATGAGCTGCGCTGTAGATGCAGCAGTGGTGGCTTTTGGTATTCGTATTTCACGAATCCCACGCTCTCCTCTCTGCCTCGTCTATTTAACCATTAGAAGCTGCTTGTTTAAGGAACTTAAATGGTTGGTCCCTTCTGCCTGCAAAGCACCATGGAAATCCCTAGAGGCTGCACACATTTTCTCACTGCCATGGCTATTTTAGCGTGGGTCCCTTTGACTGAAACACTCCCACTCTGCATTTATTCTTAAGTCTTGCAGGAAGAAAGAAGAGCTTGGTTTCCAACAGACTCTCTCTCAATAGGGAACACTGGTGAAAACCTGGGGCAGACCACTATAGCGTCTGCTTGCTACGCTATATAATGCTGGGCCAATTTAGGTGCTCACGTAATCAAATTAATTTGTAAAAAAAACCCCTTAGAGAACAAAATCCTTTATGTGGATTAAATAAGATGGAAAAGGCTAGCTCAGGTGCCTCTTGTTCTAGATCAAAGCAATTCTGGGATTTGTAAAAGTACTCATTAGAAATGCTGAATTTGCCAGCCTTTTTATAAGTGGGAGTGGGGGGGAAAACAGGGGCTCTATGATGGTAAAGATAGATAATAAAATGTCATCAGAGGCAGGAAGGAATTTCACATGCACATTGGGTACCTTGGCTCTCGGCAGAGATTTAGCAATAGTTTGTGAAATGCTGATTAGAACCAGCTCTTAGCAAACAGACCTCAGCCTGCAAGCAGGCGACTCATTTGAAGGCAACATACTCTTCAGAAGTGTAAAAGCAAGCACTCCACGCTTGACCTACTGCTTCTACCTGGTGATTCACTGCAAAGAGACAGTAAAAACAATCCCTGACCTTAAATCTAGTGCATGTTCGCCAGTATGACTTCTCAATTCATGAAGGTGTTACCATGACTGAGAGCTTTAACTTGCAGCCTCAGAGCACAGAAACCCCTCCGTCTTTGTCCCCAGCTTTCTGGCGTTTGTAGCTTCTTCCTAGAATAATGTTTCCCATTAACAGTCTCCACCACCGTTGCTGTTTTGCAGACAAAGAAGTATGCAGATGTGATCATCCCCCGAGGAGTTGACAACATGGGTAAAAGGGAGTTTGGTTCTCTGTCCGATTTCTCTGGGGAGACCACCTTTGGGGTTGGGAGGAGAGCAGGTGGCACACCACTGCCTTGTTTGCGTGCTAAGGGAAGGTGTTTTGCTGGAGGGCTGTAGGGGAGGGAGCCGCTCTGAGCCCGAGCGGGAGGACCAGCTGCTGCGCCTGGGGAGGGCTGGAAAAGTGACACGCGATTGGAGATGCAGAGCAGGACACCAGTGTTAAAGCTGGTCCTGCAGTTGCTGGTTTCTGTTGAGGTCTGACCTCACTGCAGAGGGCAGGCACAGTTTCATTTAAGGGCTTGTTGTTAAAACTTGAGCTGAACAGGGCTGGATGCTCCACATTTTCTAGATAGCTCGGCAAAGAAAGCCTGCATGTCCTATATTTCCCGTTCCTCTCTGCAGTTGCCATAAACCTCATAGTGCAGCACATTCAAGACATCCTAAACGGAGACATCTGCAAGTGGCAGCGAGGGGCAATGAACGGACACGGTCGGACCTACAAGCGCCCATTCCCTGAACAAACAGAGAGCAGCAGCGTGCTAGCGGCCGGCAAACGCTCCCACCTGGAGTCCAGCAGCCGTCCGCACTAACGTCTCGGCGTCTGAAGGATTTGCCTCTGGTCCAGACCAACACTGAAGACAACTTTGGGAAAGAAGGACTTCAACAGAATGGTTGGTGAAGTGCCCTTTAAATCATCCTAGCAGCAGAGGGGATACTGGTGTGAAACTTCTTGCAGAGGGGAGAGGAAGGAGTTGGCATATCGCCCCTCTCCCCTCCAAAACCCCTCCCTTTTCTCCCTACGATATCTGGAGTTATGTTACTTGATGAACTGGTTAAAGGCAGTGCTATTTGCCTTTTTTTAATTTTCAGAATGAGACCTAATGCCGAAGTCTCCCCTGAAAATTAAGTGCTACCAAGTGATTAGCAAGATACCCCATTTCCCTGACGATGAGCTTCCTTAGCAGGAAAATTAGCTGCCTGTTTTTTCAAAAGGAAAAAACCAGTCTCTTTCTCCAAGACTAGCTCACACCCTGTTAATGTAAGCAAGCAGGTGCTGTCCTTACTCTTCTCCACCTTGTTGGGACCTTGCGTTCTGCCATTGCTCTCCCGCTGGCCAGCCCCCTTGTTAGCCTGTGATAGCATGTGGGGAAGAAGGACTGACCTGTAGAGGAATCGCTCCCCTGAGGTAGAGATGAGAGACTGTCTGGGACAAATGGGAACTTGCAGGTCATCGGGGGACAGGCCTGAGAAGTTGTGTGATTCTGGTTCCTAAGTTATTCCTTTCTAAGCTCCCGAACCTTGCTACACTGTATGATTATTTTTTGTACCCAAATAGTCTCCTTCAGTTACTGAATGTGTGAGCTCCAACTGGATTGAGTTGCTCATGGAAACAGAAACCTGACCTTGTCAGTATTAGTGTCTTTTAGGGCATTTCTGTACTGCTGGTTGCAGATTCTGCTGGTCGGAATCCATCCGCTTCCAGAGCTGGGTGGGATCAGCAAGGGGGGAAGCTGCGAATTGCAAGACCCTCCTTCTGATGGCACAAATAGCTCTCTGGACCCTCAAACAGGGTCAAAGCGCTTGCCTTGCACTCAGGCAGTTTTAACTCAAGAACGTCTGGTTTTCTAAAAAGAGCAGACAAGAGGCTGGAAGTATCAACAGTGACATCCCAGTTTCTGTAGCTTACCCCAGCTAAGTGATACTGCAGCAACATGAAGTTTCTGGAAAAAAATTCTGAAATTAAGTGCCAGTTGGGCCTTTGAAAATGTCCTTGTGGTATCCTTCTTGAATCTGGACTTATGGTGTAATTTTAAGAAGCGGGGGGAGGGGAGGGAATATTAAGAGGAACTCTTTTGTATTTGCTAGTTTTCTAAAACCAGGGTCTGGCTGTGTTGGTTGTGGGTGTGTTACTTTTGCTAATAAACAAACGAACAAACAGTGAGCAGAAATGACCATTTTATATAAAAGGTATTTGTGCTACTTGTGCTACACCAGCACAAAGGTACAGAAAGGAACACTTCTGGAGATGTCATTATATTCAACAGTTCTTTCTCCCCTTAACGCAGAATTGTTAGCTTTAGTTCTGTAATGGCTGAAGCTTTTGAGGAAAAAAAAACTTAAAAAAAAAAAAAAAATGCAGTCTGCACTTTCATCCCTATAGTCTTTTCAACACTGGAAATCGTTTGTCATCTACTAGTGATCTCCACAGTCCAGTGGTATGCTTCTGTAATGCCAAGGAGAATGCAGTTCATTTCCTAACAACTGCTGCTGGGTGCTGTTTAGCTCAGGGTGACAGACTTAGAGTATGAGCTACTGCACTGAAGCATTAGCTATTGGGGCTGATTTAAGTAGGAGTAAAATAGTCACTAAAACCTACTTTGAATGACTGTGGTGTTTGATCATACCTTCCTCTGGGGGGGGCGGAGCTCAAAGCAGCCTTGAATAGCATTTGTTACAGCAGTAAGGAGCTCTAGAGTAAAAAGTCTCTCTAGGTCAGCTGTGCTTGGTCAGCTTTGAGCTGTATTGCAAGATCCTGCAGTTGCAGCCTCATGGGAAAAAAAAAAAAAAAATCTCAAACATGGCATAGGTACTGTAACCCTTGTTGAATACCTGTACAGAGCTATTACAAATTCCCCACCGAGCGATCCCAGCGCTTCACCTGCACCTTCTCCTACTCTGTCAGTTCCTCTGCTGGTGCAGGCCAGGGCACGGGCTGAGTTACCTACAAGGTTTTTACCCTGAACCCATGTGTACAAGTTATAGCAGGTTTCCTTGTCAGCATGATCAGTTCCACCTTGCTCAGAGTTCCTCTTCCTGAGATTTGAGGTGTAACCCTGCAGCCCAGTAAATAAATACTGCTGTTGCTAGTAACAGGCCAAAGGATTCTTCTGGCTTTGGCTGACTTCTTGGCCTGCCTGCAGCTTTGTTTTAGCTTGTTTAGCTGTTACAGCGATTTTTAAATGTCTATTTGTTTTATTTATTTTTGCTTAGCTTCATAAAAATTATGGTTATGCCAAATGATTATACATAGATAATAGCAACAAGTCATTATTCTATGCAGAATGAACTATTTATAAACTTAGCTTAATGCTGTAATGTTATGAAATAGGGATGATAGCAGAGCATTGAAAGTGGGGGCAAATAATGCATTGTTGAGGAATATAGTCATGGGATGATGCTGAAGACTGCAGGGCCAATTACTGATAGTTAAAGATGTGTAAACTTTGGAGCTGGGAAAACCCAGTTTTTAGGAGTAAGAAAGAAACAGAAAAGGATCCAGTATGTTGGAGAGTATCCATTTATAGTAACTTCTTGTAACATGGAGTTGCAGACCAAGGTGCTAGGGAACATATAAAATAGCCCTAAGTGCAAGATAGTGCAAGCAGGAAGAAACCATCAACATCATACTCCCAGGAAAGAGGAAGAAAAAACCCTTGCAGCATGCTCTTCCCAGCAAAGAACCTGGGATGCTGTTGACTGAAGTCAGCAACCTGCAGACCCTGAGGGACAGTGGAAGGGTGACTGTAACAGGGGTAGAGATGGGGAATTGTGCTCGTAACAGCTATATTACTGTTGAGACCTTTTTTTTTGTAACAGTATTCTTTTATTTTCTTTTTCTGTAATAATTAGAGCTGGACTACTATCAATTATTTGATCGGACTGTTAAGATTTCAGTTATACTAACAATAAATTCTTGGCTTTGCATAAAAGGCGTTTCCCTTTACCTGTAACAAGATTGTAATTGTTACTGTTTTCGGATGAGGATGTTCCAGCTGTCCTTCCAGCGCAAGTCCTTGAGTTCACTAACAGACAGCGAGGGCTCCCCATAGGTGACAGGGCTGAATGTGCAATAGGCAAGGTAAACCGAAGAGAACCAGGCTACGATCAATGCGCTGAACATGCTCTTGAGAAGCAGAGATCTGGGATGAGAGAGGGATCAAGTTACATCAAGGCTAGCCAAACACTTCATCCAAAAGGAAGACCTACATACGGCCTAACTTCTCTAAAGGCAAATGCCAAAGTATGGCCGCTGCTGGAAAAATCACTGCTTTCCCTGCAGCAGCTTGCCGAGGTGACAACCCTGGAGAAAAGAACTGCATCACTTCTCTTGTCTATCTGTCTATCTATCTATCTACCTGTTAAAACCAAGTACCTGCAGAGATGATCGCTGAGATGCTGTAACATGATGGGAATCAGGAGAATCTGGAATGTGAGGGCAGGCAGGTAGTGGTACAGGAAAAGTGTTTTCTCCATCAGGAAGAAGGGCAGGTAATTCACAGCCCAGCCTCCAACACAGATCCCCCCGGCTGATACCCACAGCTGCCATGCATCTGCAGGAGACAGGAGAAATCTCAAAGCATGGACCCCGGAAACCTGAAGTCTCTAAGAGGTTGCCTACTTGCATGGTTTGGTTTTTTCCCCCACTCTTGACAGTTTGTGCTAATATGACCTTTAACTTGACCACACTCAGCTGAGGGAAATGGTTAAATTTTGTCACACTTTTATGAAGTACCCATCAAGACAGATTACAGCTAACATGAAGCAGCTTCACCGCATGACAAGATGTACTGCCAGAAAGGTCAGCATAAAACTGCCCAGCCACACAGAGGAGATGGTACCTCTGTTGGAAGAAACACATCTAAAATAACCCCCTCCCCACACAGCCAGTACCTACCTCTTTTAAATCATCACAAACGGGCTCAGTAGAATCCAAATTTAATGCCTGCAGATTTCTTACATCCAGGGAATGATTCAAATAAATATTATGCTGGCTACTATGCTGTTTTATGAGGTAATGGTCACATTGTCATGACCATAATCAGTCTCTTCATGGGCTACGCTAGATGTTTGTGTGTCCCAAATAAAAATTTCAGGGTTAGGGACAGGAAAAAGTGCTAGCATAGCCAAACACACAGTTGCAAAAAACCGTGGCTTTGGATCCATTGAAGTGTAGCAGAACAAGAGACAATGCCCCCACCTCGATACACACATACATATGAAAAATGGAATCAGACCTTCAGGGATGTCGTTAATCTTTCTCCTTCGTCGTATCAAGTACCACAGGGACAGACACACATATACCAGAGCAGCGACATTAGCTGAAGCCCAGGTAACAACATTCCCAAGGAGGTGGATCTGGGCCTGAAGGATAGAAGATGGTCTAAGCCAGAAGCAGGAACATGCTGCAGTTCTTTTAGGTAAGTTTAAATATTACCTACACAGACTTGCTAAATTAAACGTCGGAATGTGCCTGGCTAGTAACCTGATCTTTCCTGGAACAAAGCTAGGTGATAAACTTTGCTGCTTTAAGACTCTTTTGTAATGTAAGGCATTTAAAAGATGCTATTGGAGATGAACTCATCTTCTAAATGGAATCAATAATGGAAACTATTAAACTGCAGTTTTTCTTTACAAAAAAAAAAGTGCAAGAAGACATGATTTAATTAAAAGCAACTACTGTCAAAGCTGTATCACATGCCAAAAAAAAACCCTCAACCCTCAGGGAAAATACACTCTTAATACAGGAAGAGTCCATCCTGGAGCAGCTCCTTGGCTGGAACTGCAGCCCTGCTCTCACTCACACTCATGGAGCTCACATCTGACCTGAAGTCTGCTTTCTTCACCAGGTTCACGTTTACTTCTACCTCTTGTACTTACACCAGAGGTCGGGTGGAGCCAGTAGGCAATATTTGTGTCCATTGT